AAACTTTGAATATTTCGCAAAAGAGCATGCAAGATTGTCTGATACTGATTGATAATTGGCTCTTTTTCAATTAAATGGCATTCGAATCACATCAATTTCAGATCCGCATTCCTACACTTCTTTGCATCAAAATTCCTTTCGTGAACGAATTTAATATACCCTTTTTCGATGGAACATTTTGGGAGGTTAGGCGTCGACATCAAATTCCATCTTCATAACAACTGAGGGTATAAACCAGAGTAACGCTACTGAAATTAATCCAATGAAGTAAACTTAAATCTCATGAAAAACACTTTCTAGCATCTTTAACTTTGAACGCCCCCCCCCCCTTCTCATTAATATTTGAACAAAAAAGAGATTTAATTAGATATCTGAATAAATATGTCTAGTAGTTGACTTTAATCAAACAATGTTGCAGCTTGAGCCCAATTGCTAAAGGAGTTTGTTACATGCGTTTCTCCTTAAAATTAGATTTACACATGTCAGTGGCAAGTTCAAACGCTAAAGTAAACAATATAGATTGGCGTCAAAAGTAACCTTGAAAATGGGAGTGAGATTATCACCTAATTAGTTAAGTTTTAGTTGAAACGGGTGTAAACTTACTCCTATTTGCAGAAGCAATTATAATGAATAGGGTAAAACAAAGTAAATAAGATTAATTGTCTCAATCTTTAATATGAATCATTTACGAGGATAGGTTCCACCCTAATAGAATGCTAACAAATGTATTATGATATAAAATGAATATGAATTGTACCTCGCGCCGTATATCGACCATGATTTCAAGGTCATACGTCAGTGAATCTTACTTATATCAGCGCATTTTGTGATTATTACTAAGACCGCTGTTAGAGGGTCTTGCAGCCATGACTGCACGTTCAGAAAGATCAAGCATATTGCCTAGATTCGGCTATAATTATTTGGTTCTGCAAGTGATCCTCATAATGGAGTCTCCATTGATACCAAATGGACTAGAGAGTTACTTATACCAATGTATTTTCATATCGTCTGCAAGTCTTGCCTTTGATACAAACATTGAATTACTTCTTAGGACATAAGTTTACAAGATGGTCTTCGTGAGTATTTCATAAGACAACATATAATGTGAAATTCAACAGTTTACGCATTTTAAGACGATAAATTACAGCAGGCAAGTTCCCATGAGGCAGGCTAAAATTCAATGGGAGAAATCTCAGGTTCAATAAAATCTTTCTCCTGAAACTTTGGCCACCATCTCACAATTTTTTAACCAGCTCGAAATGATTAGCTTATGGAATGGTCTATGCATAAAAGCAAGTCCAATTGAAAGTGACCTAATGTATATCCACAGGTCACACCAGTTTAATTCTCGCGAAAAATCGTGAGAAACGTGTCACTAAACGTGTCCTCCACTAGGCAAATACTTGATCTAGAAGTTGAAAGTGTGCTAATAGGGTGAACTTACTGTCAGATTATTAGGTCTAGAGACGAAAATAAACAAAGTACAATTTTGATAATTCTCACAAATTATATGAAAATATTCGACTTTTTTCATAATCTATTGCCCTTTAAACTGCAATGGGAATGGGCAATGCTTGGAAGTTGGACCAACTCTTTGAGCGCTGTTAGTCTAAAATCACTTATTTATTTATTTATTTCAAATGGCAGGCGTTGTGATAGTTATTATTAGCCCATTAGCTGACTTCAGGCTCCACGGAGAGGAGGAGGAACATCAAAATGGCAAAATGTCAAGAGGGGGGGGGGACAGAATACTAATTCACAGATGTAAAAGAGATAGAGAGACACAGGGCAGTGAAAAGGTGAGGTGAGTACTGTGATAGGGGTCGAATAAGACATCGGGCCATGGTAATTTGAAGTCAGAAGTCAACTGCCGGTTAAAGGACTGTTTTTTGTCGTTTGAGTATACGTTGCCCAGGGTACATCACGTGGAGGTAAGTCTATCGTACACCCGTCTAAAATCATTATGTCCTTTAAATGGGATCAAGCGCATTGTTTGCTTCCTCGTGCATGGTGTTGTTCAAACTAACTAAAATAATTGTGATTGCTCGTCTGATTACGTGTTTACTCGCTTAGCTTTAACTTCAAAGAAAAGACAAGAAGTTATGGCACAAAATCAGTTTAAATAAAAAAGTGAACCCTAGCTTATTTCTTGGAGTCCGCTACAATGGTCATTATAAAGTCAATACACTTTTCCATCTCTTCATATCTCTGAAGTAAAACCGTTCACGCTTTAAGGTTGGCTAGCCAATATTGATTTTTTCGAAATAACCCCTCGGAAATTTGAACTTAACATTAAGCCAAATAATTTAATTCGATAACATTTTTAACGAGTAAAAGTAAAGCTAACTTTTAAGATATTTGCTCTGAATTCGCAGACTTCTGTTTAATTTTCCTTTGACCAAACAACCTTGATTGTTTAAGACAACTCGATCTATTGGAAATAAGGCTTCAAATACGACTCCCAGAAATGTGCATTTGCCATCATTTTCGCTAATTTGAATTTTCGTTCGTCTTAGAATTGGTCAGGATAAGGTAAAACTCGTGACCAGCTAAAATCAGTTCCACTAATTTCAACTCCGGATTATAAATATCTTATTTCCTACTCTGATATGTATTGATTGACGTCATTTTAACAGTAATGGTGCTTTACCCGTCCCCCCCCCCCCCCCCCCCCCCCCCCCCCCCCCCCCCCCCNNGGGGGGGGGGGGGGGGAATATCTCAACGCTGAATATTCGGACTTTGGTCCTGTCAACTTAACACTCGTACGTTCGTCCTCAGAGTTCGTATAAACAAACCAAAAACCGGAGCTGTAAAAATTTGCAATGTTTCATTTTTACCCTTACCTCCGGCTCTAGATGATTAATGATTAAAGTTGGGATTTTGAAAAGTGGAACTAAATTCTACAAAAAACTTATCTTTAGTAAAGAAAATGAAGTGCATGCCTGTTTCTATCATACTGCTGAACTTCCAATTGATTTACAGTCCTGTCATTAATATACTCCTTACATTTGGCTGAAGAAAAGCACGATTAAAATTGCTAATGCTCAATTTTTGCCTTAGCAAGCTTCAAAAGGTTCTGGACCGCCTAAAGAACAGTCTATTAACACCCAGTGCCCATCGAAAATCGATAACGCTAAATTTAACGAAGAAGACGAAAAGAGTAATGTGGATGAGTCACGAAATGAAAAATCCAAAACGGTAAAAAATGGGAGCGGATTTAATGATGTCCCAATTTTATTAGCTCCGAGTGGAATATTAGGGGGACAATATTTTGGCACGTGGCGATGAATTAAATTGTGATATTTCGGGAAATGTTTAATTTTTGGGTGATTATTAATTTTATTACCCCGGTTAATGACAACATTGCATTGGTCCGCTCTGGTCTCATTAGCATTTTCGAGTGATATTATAACGCCTCTATTCATTTAAATCTCGACACTACTCCCACTCCTCCACCCTCCCCCTCCCCTCCCACTCCCACAACCCAACTCAACCCTGTCCAGGAGCTCAATAAATGCCCATTTGGTAATATATTTATTTGTTTATATCAAATGACAGGCGTCTTGATGAGTATCATTAGCCATTCAGTTGACTTCAGGCTTCACAGATGGGATGGAACATCAAATTTTAAAAAGCCGAGAAAGGGGGAACAGAAGAGTGCTTAAAAGATGTAAGAGGCAAACACAAAGGTAGAAAAAAGGTGAGGTGAGTACTGTGAAAGTAGTCGAATATGGCATAGAGTGAGGTGATGGTAGTTTGAAGTGAGAAGTGAATTGCCAGTTAATGGACTTTTTTGCCGTATGAGCATACGTTGCCCAGGATGCACCACGTGGAGGTAAGTCTATCGCAAACCCCCCGTTTGGTACTATAATTCAGTTATATATTGTTCATAAATCGGAATTAAAGTCCTTCATGAACAGAGAAGCAATATTTTGGGCCAGAGTTTAAAGAGAGCGTTGCATTCCTTCATCTCACACGTTGAATACTTTTCAGCATGTCAAAAAGTCCTGGAGTAGTCAGTGATGAGATGAAAAAAGTTGCGAAAAAAACCTCAAAATAGACAAATTTGGTTTATATAAAGACGAATTGGTGTTAATAGCATTATTAACTCTAAAGCGTAAAAAATTAAAGCGTAAGGTGGCTATAGAGAAGTAAGGGCAAAAACCATGAAATGGCTTTATGAGCTGTCCTCCGTTTCTTGCTTGAATTCGAGTTTGCAAAACTCAGAAAGTTTATCAACCCCTTCAGAAAGACTTCTATAGCTACAAAGGCCAAATATTGTTTTAATATATATTCATCAGAACACCCTAGATTCCAACCCAAAATGTGCCCAATTAAAAAACGGACTGCAAAAATTGCCATTGAAAATCGTAATAAGCTTGCATTTTCCACTAGAATCCTTCAAATGAATAAAAACTAGACAATCATGTTTGAGTGTCATCTCTTGCCTTCTGAATTCAATTTTCAATGCGTAAAATTTCGAGATACCATGCAAGATATGGGTTCTGGTTTATGGCCGTCTGAAAGCAACAGGTTAAAAACAGGTGGACTCAAATTCAGACAGGTCAAGGCAGGAAATGTCTCAAAAGTGAGTGAATTAATCCCGTTCCCGGACTGGTTATTTTAGACAAGTAGATCAACTCAGAGCATATATAAGAAATAGTCTAGAAAATAACCTTCCGCTCTCGATTACTTTTATGCGGTATTCTTATACTAAAATAATTCTGATGCGGACCTTAAACTCCTAAATTTACACAGAATTTAATTTTACATAATACTAAGAAATGAAGTATATTATTTAATTGAATATTAGCAAGTTGCTCAGTTTTAATGTGAAGCGGTCTAGTGATTGGTTTAGGGAAACTCACGTGTGATTGGTTGACGCTAATAACGGCATCAACGTCCAATCTTTGCGCGTGGAGGCATGAAATAGCCATTTAACATCCACTTCGAACACTCATTTAATCATAAGCCTGTCCGGCTTCTGACGTATTTACTTCATGGATAATCCTAAAACATGTGCATCCTTAAGTTTGACTCAACAAGAATACCTTCAGCAATACATTCAACAGCTCGAAGCTTCTTCCCAAAATGTTAAAATTATTAGGTCGCTTAGAACCCTGTGGTTCCCAAGATTTCTGGATCTCTGTAAAGCCCGTCTTTCTGAAGTTGTTGATCCACCCGTGGAATTCAGCGAATACAATCCCTCAAGATATCAGAGAACGAAATTCAGACAATTTGACAACACAGATCTCTACACTGAGGAACCCTCTCGCATTTATGATGCTGTTGTTTCCTTAATGCAATATATATCGTCTGAAGACCGTAAGTGATAGTAAATCTTGCTTCCATATTTCGCTGGAGTTTACCTAATCTCCCTTTTTAATATAGTACTCCAAACTCCTCTGATATTTCGAAAAAGTGGAAATATCAGTCGACAGCGGGATCTAAGTAAACATCTATTAAATGGAGAAGCTGTGGCCTTTCCCTTCTACTCAACTACCTTGACTGAATCCTCTTCCGTATCCATATTAACAACACCTACATCTATAAAGCAATCCTGGAATCGAATGACAAGATCAAAGTCCTCAAAGATAACCCCATCTAAATCAGAGACAACAATCGATAATGGCGGTGAATTGAATGCCCACGATTATGCTAATGTTTTGAAGACTGTCCTTAGAGAAATGCCCGAACCAATCCTAACCAAAGATCTCCTACCAATTTATATTTCCGTGTCAAGTATGTTGGATGCTATTTGATCGATTTCATAAATTATCATCGAATGGATAATCCTGTATTTTACTTTCAGAACTTACCTCAGCAAATGAAAATCTAACTGAATTGGATTACAAATTAGTTAGAGCAAAACAGCAATCCGCAATTAGGATTCTATCATGGCTTCTACCGATGAACAATCAGCATCTACTCAGGAGTCTGCTCGATTTACTCACACAAACCCTGGCACATTCAGATGTCAACAGCATGTCTGCTGAAAGCCTTGGTACGATATTCGGCCCTCTCCTATTTGCTCCTTCTTGTGTAGGTGCCTTCTTTATTTATTTATGTCGTTAGAGGTTTATAATTAGGTGTAATTACACTTTTGATACCTTAGAGGTCACATAACGATTTGCACAAAGATTACGACTCGCTAAATGCTCTCGCGACAGTGATGATTGAACAAGGATCTGAAGGCGTATTTGCAATTCCTCTGCGCTTATTCAACGATATCAAGAAGATTGTCAATTCAGAAACCTTTCTTCGAATGATTACCTCTAGAGACTCGGGTTTGGACTCCTGCTCATTGGAATCGTCAATAAGTGCAGAAGACGTGGACATGTATACAGATATCGCATTTGCTGAAAGGTGCAATAATATTGAATCTCCTACATGGAAACAGGCAACTCAAGACTCGATAGATCAGCTTATCAAAAAAATCAATGGTCTTCCGGATTCTCATCCAAGAAAGTCTTATTATCTTCGTGCATTATGCAATAATAGCGAGGTTGAGTCTGAGAGTTTCTTCCAGAAAGCTACAAGATCCTTCTTCGTGAGTATCCCATCTCTATACTCTTGGATCACTCTTGAGGTAGAACTAATTATGATTTTTCTTGTAGAACTCCTGCAAAACACCGTCGAAACATTCAGCTACAAAGATGTTGCTCGGAGCCTCAGCTGTGACACCCTCGAATCCTGAAAGAATTAAAATTTCCTGTTGTCCAATAGGTTCAGTATTGTCAGCGTCAAAGAAAAGACGTGTGGAAAGTGGGATAAAGAAGAAAGAATCCGTGCTCCAACCCGAAAATAAGAAACTCAGGTGCGCTGCTGTTCAGACTGATCTCTCCTTAGGCTCTAGTGTTCTACTTCAAATGCCGGTGAAGAGAAATTATGGCCGGTCGAAAGTGGAAAAAGTCGATATTTCTTTCCCTCACCATGACAACATGAAAGCTAGGCATTCTTTATAAGCAATTACTGTAGTCATTTTAGATTTTGTAAATAAACAGAGCTAATAGTTGCTTTCGGGATTATTCTGAATTGGGATGAACTTTTTCCGTAGCTTAATCGACTAGAAAAAGCGTTGCTTTCGATTGCCCGTGGAGGTCAAACAATTTACGACCTATATCAGGACAGAGTAACGATATCGGAGATAAGTGAGATTGTTCTGCAATAGTGGAACGGAATGTTAGCTTGAAATTGCTTTCCCGATAATGAGTTGTACTGGTGCAGCCGTAGAAATCCTCTTGCAAATACAAATGCCAAGACGCGACTTTGATAAAAGCAGTGCTGTGTACTAAACTTTTGGTGCTCAGGGTGCAATCGAGACGAAAGTGTGTCAGTTAACGAATTTCTTGACCTTTGTTAGCCGATGAACAACCGGCAAAAATCATTGACTGAGATTGTGGACGTCTAAAGTGATCAATAATAAATGCGTCTAATTTATTCATGAACAATCGAAAAATGTCCTCATTGCAACTACAAAAGCCTAATTTAGATCTACTTGAAAAATAAGTGTACAGGGAGAATTATATGACTTCGAATAAATAAATAAATAAACAGTATTTGCTTTATATTAATTGAAAACGAGGAGAAAAGACTTAAAGAGCTATTTAATTTGTCAAGGTAAAATGTTCAACAAAATTTTTACAATTTTATTTTCAACTTGGGGATGTGCGATAGACTTACCTCCACGTGGTGCACCCTGGGCAACGTATACTCATACGGCAAAAAAGTCTATTAACCGGCAGTTGACTTCTCACTTCAAAATACCATGGCACAACTGCTTGTCATATTCGACCGCTTCCACAGTACTCACTTCACTATCTTTCTATCTTTCTGTCTGTCACTTTTGCATCTGTGAAACATTCTTCTGTTCCCCTTCCCTCGATTTTTTTTTCAATTTAATGTTCCTTTCCCTCTGTGAAGCCTGAAGTCAACTAAAGGGCTAATGATAACCATCAAAACGTCTGCCACTTGATATAAATAAATGAGTGATAACGTTAGTTTAATTAGCTCAATATTAGATCATTGTGAAAACTTATATAAATACAATCAAGCACTTTCAAATAATTGGAAACATTTTTGGTTGTTTATTATGCAATTAAAATCTTTATTTCCTAATGTTGACGTAGTGTTCAGTTTGAAAAAATTAAACAAAAAATTATAGAGGTCACGTTTGTTGTTAAATTCTTAGAGCTAACTAACATCGCTATCATCACACCTCGGTGTAAGCATGCGCTGTACAATGTTAATATTGTTGTCTAAATCGGGGCGAGCCATCGCAATCGTCTTCTATCTCGTCTACGCAGCTGCTTATCCACACCACTTCAGGGGACACAAATCACAAAACTCAGAAGACTGAGCATAATCAATGTCTCAACCGGATGTTACTGACAAAATCGTTAAAAATATGGCGGATCACAGGTTTAGTTCTACGGCTGAGGTGCTTTTAGCGCACGTTACTGCTATCTATTTGCAATATTTATGGATTTATTTGCTTTATTACTTTGTTTTTTTTCAGCATTGCTCCTTAATGTTTAAATTGTGCCCTTGTGGAAAACACGACGCTCCCATGGCTGAGCAACGAAATCGCACGTGTACCAGGCAGCCACGAAGGTGCACCCGTGCTATTTGCCCAATAGGAAACAAGTGTTATTATGAGTGAAAAGACCTCTCAACCATCCACCAGTCAATAGTTCCTGCATTGTTTGACGTACCTTTCTGCAACAGACGCAGCCAAAATAAACGTGTTCCACACTGTAGGTCAGTTTCCTCCACATTGTTGAGGGGATTTTGCCATAGATATTACTTATCCTAAGTCAAGGATTATTAGAGTAACAGTTCGCTATATCCATGCTGGTATCTTGTCTGATTGGCTATATTATAAGTTGACTGATTTAGAGACAGCCGGTCATAACAATCGTAATGACTTGACTTTTAAAAAGTTTTGAATCGTTAGCACCACGGAATGTTTCAAATTTAGTCGGTTTGTGAGATTATAAAATATAGTGAAGATCAGCAAAAAAGTGTAAATTAGCAAAATTTTGACAAACTTACTCTGGATAAGAAATGGTTTCAAAAATAATTGAGAATGAAGTTCAAATGACATAGAGACTCTAAGCTAGCCTTTGTGTTTACTAAAATTGTGAATTCCCGTTTGGATAAATCTGAGTTCTCTCCGACCACACTGCAATTACCGCAATAAGTATTACAATTTACAATTTTAAAATGAAAAACAATTTTCATACAATCGGAATGATAAAATCAAGTTTATAATACTTTTAATTTACAGCACATAAATCTATTTAAAAGCCATTGATTGCAGTGAAACATTAAATTTGTCAAGGTCAATATGCCATTCGACCTTGAATCTTACTTTAACTCTTATCTACATCACGCATCTGGATAATCAGAATAACAATTTTCCCACCCGTGCAATATTGCCTTTTTATGGAAATCTCAAGGTCACAATGGGACTAATTAAAATTCGTATTCAATGTATCTACATCTTATATTCCCCTTCTCATTAAAAGCAATATAAAAAATCTGTAATTCATCGGTTTAATAATTTTTTTTCAAGAAGACGAGAAACCGAATTCCTGGATCAACTTCATTCTTTTTCGTAAGCAAACCTTTTGTTTGATCACATGTTTCTTGACTAGTACCATTACAAATCAAAGCCAATTAGAATGTTAAGCCATTTGATGAGAGTTGGCAGCTAACGATTTTTTGAAACAGATAAATAACTCCAATCATTATTTGTCCGAAGTGATAGTTTGATAATCACAACAAACTACCGTCAGAAACTGTTTGATGAAAGACTTTCGACAATTAATTACCATAAAAATGTCGAAGCTGAATGTTTTATGCATATTTCGAATCGTTAATTGCTTTTAATTGTTGACCATCTGACTATTATAAGTGAGCATATTATTACGATAGTATTATAAATGAGTAAATAATGAGATCAGGCAAGTAAGTTATTTGTTATATGGAAGCGTCGAATTGTCATTTTTTAATAAGAGATATAATTCAACTTCCGGGGTGTGCGATAGACCTACCTCCACGTGGTGCACCCTGTGCAACGTACACTCATACGGCAAAAAAGTTGACTTCTGACTTCAAAATTCCATGACCCCACTGTATGTCATATTCGATCACTTCCACAGTACTCATCTTACCTTTTTCCCTGCCTTTGTGTCTGTCTGCCTCTTTTACATCTGTGAATCGCTCTTCTG